GCATTACTTTTAGAGCATCTCGATTGGCCAACCCATAAAGAAATGGACACATCTACTATTATAACAGTACAGTATAAATATTAATATCTAAATTTTGCAACAGTTTTCAATCAGCAACTGACGATTACATCATGCATGAAACTCAGAGTTCTGCTACAGTTGAGGGACAAGAGTAATCGAGGAATTGGAGAACCAAGTTTAAATTCCAGTCAAATCAATTACATTCACTTACATGCTAATACCGTTGGTAAAGGTATGAATCCTCTTCTTCTCCCCTCCCCAGCTATGAGTAAATAGCAGGACAGACCAGATTCTATAGCCTTGGATGGACTACCACAGAAAGAAATGGCAACCTACTGCAGGAAAAAACTCTGTTTTGTCAGTAATGTGTCAAAAAATACATGATTGCCTAAGCGTGTATCATGCATGGCATGTAACCCCCCCCAAAAAAAAAACACTGTTTTATTACCACCAGTACCTAATGTGTGATAACATATAAAATGTTCTTTAAGGCAAATGTTATTCAAGACAGACATTTTGTGTCAATTAATTTTATTGATCAACTTGTTAGTTCCTGTATTCCTCCTTGTCCACTCTGCAAATTGCTTCAGGACCGGCGAATATTTTTTCCTTCTTATGTTTTTTCTCCCTGGAAGGGTGGAGTGGGGAAGGGATATGGGGAGGATGTTGACATGTGAGGGGGTAATGCACTCGAACTGAGGGAAGAGTTTGAGGGAGTGGGGGTTGGAGCACGGGAAGGGGAAAAAGGGAAGCTCCTTACTTTTGCTACTTTGATAGTGTCCAAATTACAAATAATCCTTCTCAAATAAAGAGGAAATTCCATCAGAAATTGTACAAAGTTTATTTTGGAAGAAATATGGTCCAAGCTTTCAACTTTAAGCCATCATCAGGGTAGGTAGAGACAAATTTGTCTCAGCCTACTCTGATGATGGTAATTTCTGACAGAATTTCTTCCTTATCTGATACAAAATGTCTGTTGTATTTAATAATAATAATGTACAAATTTAAGATAAAGTATATCTGTAAAAAAACAATATGAATAAAGACAAGAGGAAAACTTATCTTAGCTGACACATTCTGTCCTCTGTATGACTTTATCAAAGCAAATGCAAAGATTTTATTTTGTAACAAGTATTTATATACAAGAGCAAAAATGTTATTGGTTTTTCAAAATTTTTGAGTTTAAGAACACTCATAAATATTCATCTGGTCAGCTGAGACATCAGGCAAGCTATGCGGTACACAAAGTGATATAATTCAATAAACGAAAGTAAGTGAGGTTTTAGAAATGTTTTTAGGTGTGCAAATTACTATTTAAATTAATTTAGTCTGGGGTTAATTTATCTTTTATATATATTTTGAATAACATTATGTTTAATCATTTTCCTTTAATTTCTTAACATTTTCATTGTCATGTATCTTTGTTTGGGAAAGAAGTAATTCTTCCAGGAATGGAGATATTGGAAAAAGTCCAGGGCACAAATTTATACTTTGATAAGATTCGATAGATTCCTTTTGTGTTCATAGATAGGTTTTTTTCTTTTTTTACTTTTCTGCAAGTTTCCCCAATATATTATGTAAGTCCAGTTCTGGTCATTTATTTTATATATACCTGCTTCTGAATTAATATTGTTATGGGTGCTTTTATCTCTGATCATATTCATGATGGTTTGGGATGTGGTTGTAATTAATTTGATGTCACAAATATGGACCACTCAGTGAGGATCAAACTCACTACTCAGTTGTAACTGATCTGGCAAGACAAGCATGCTAATGATTACACCATATCAAAGTTTATTTTATTGTGTTTTTTTTTTTAATCAGTTCACTCCAAGCAAGGCAATAATGCCACTAAGATACAAATAGCTACTGGATGTGAAAGAGAAGGTAAAGAATTTAGAAGGAACCGGAAACCCAATCCTAAACAGCAAATACGGAATAAACCTTTACTCCTGTTCAAACGACTGGGGAGGAGTGTGAATGGCAAGTGATTTATTAAGTATAGTTTAGATGTGGCACCAGGCTACAAGTCTGGATCACTTACAAGGCGTTCTATGTACATTATGATCACCTAGTGTGGATCAAACTATTCAGTCAAAATTGATCTTGCAAAACATGTTTGCGACAAGCATATATACATACACACATGCATGCAACTTATTGATAAACAAGTACATAAAAAGTTGTAAAAATGCCTTCAGATAATTTGTTTTTAATCTTGTGACCCATAGTGTCATGGGTTCACAGTAGAAGTAGTATTTCTTGAGCCTGATGGAGCCAGTTTCCATGCCAGTTTTGAATTCAGAGTTTTTCCTTCTCCTAGACCGGTTGTGACCCAAGGTTATAGAACCTAGTCTGTCCCGCTATTTACCATAGCTGGAGGGGAGAAGAAGAGGATTCATACCTTTCCCAAGGGTATTAGCATGTAAGTGAATGTAATAGATCTGACTGGAATTTGAACTCGGCTCTCCAATTTCTCAATCCGAGCCACTATCCATTATTCTACTGTGCCTCAGATTTATATAGGATAAACAAATACATATCATAAAGATGTGAAAAGAAAGGTTCTGTAAAACTTTTGTCAAGTGCCAAGATGAAGCTAATAATCACTCGAATTTTCTGTCAGATAATTACTAGCAGTCAATATTTCAAGTGGATACAAAACCGATTTTGTAAATAGAATAAAATTTTTAATGTTCAAAGTAAATCAGATAAAATAAAAAGAAAAGATAAAATGATTCAAAGTAATTTACAAAAAGCATTAGAATCGATACAGGCCAATGTAGGTTGATTGATTTTGTTTAGCTGCATATCAACCTCTATAAGTTATTTAATGCCGAAATCTAAATATTTTGATTGGTTTGGTTTGGTCTGGTTGATTTTATTTAGCGGCATATCAACCTCTATGGGTTATTTAATGCTGAAATCTAAATATTTTGTACACATGATTTTATGAATAAGAGGAGGTGGAAGGAAATGAGGATAAGAAGGATAGAAAAGAAATGAATCCTGATAAAATTTCGGTTGGTCTGTATCAGTCTTCTTCAGTATATATTCATCAAAAAAGAAAAAAGAAAGATACCTTTGTTGTTTTGATAATTTATACACTTGAAGGTTGTAGAATGGATTGGCTGAAACACTATGAAAAAAATAACAACAAAAGATACGAAGTAGAAATCTTTGAAAAAAGGCTGGTTGGGGTTGGTTGGTTGATGGATTTAAAATGTTGGGCCCTTTAATGTTGAAATTGGGCTTTCTCTTTTGTTTTAATATTTCAGTCTATAAGCATGTATTTAGTTGAGAGACGGGTAAATATTGGTAATTTATATTCAAGTTTATAAGTATTTGCTCAGTAGATTGCCAATTTTAAAGGGTTTTATCTCACTGCAGGGATGTAGTTGGTATACTCTGCCAACAAGTCAGGTAGTTTGGTAATAGGTAAATATTGGACATTTAAATTTAAGTCTATAAGCATTTACTTAGTTCATAAATAGGTGGATATTGATTGTTTACATTTAACTCTATAAGTGATTAGTTTGTTCGAAAATTGGCAAATATTGATTGTTTATATTTGAGTCTGGAAGAAGATGATACATACATTTTTGAATATCAGAACAATATTAGGAAAATTAATGACAAAGTAGAAAAATCTTTTTCAATTTGCAAATTTATGAATAAATCATACAGATACTTGCTGGGATTGCTCCCTAACCAATAAAAATTAACAACTTCTTGGTCACATCTGACATATTTTTGTTCATATCTTGAAGTAAAAATACTACAATTGCTTGACTGTATCCATTTTGTGGGTTAACACCATTTTTACTTCATGAACTCTTTTTGCTTCATTACTGTTGCTTTGCCTAGTTCTGTCTTGCATATATATATATATATATATATATATATATATATATATATATATATATATATATATATATATAATGCTCTTGAAAAATTTTGGTTTGAGCACTGTTAAGAGATAGGGTAATTTTAAAAAGCAGCCATCTCTGCTAGCATAATGCTCTTCATTGAAAATGAATTGAGCACTATGGCTGTCTGGCATTTGTTTACATTCATAATAAATAATATGCTAGAATTTCCCTCTCTCTCTGCTGTGCACTGATAGCTGAGGGGTAGAAACTCTGACTGATGCCAATTCGGTTGGGTTTCGATCCTGGCTTGAAGCAATTGGATGTCTAGCCGCATGATACAGCGAAACAGGACTGTATGTGAATGACATTTTATATAATTATTTTTTATAAAAAAAATTATAACATAAGTATGTTATAAAATCACTACAAAAATAGCTATTTTTGTAGTGATTTTATAACATACTTATGTTATAATTTTTTTTTAAAAAATAATTATATCTGCTCTACTTTGTATTGAGCACTCTTTTAAGAATAGTAATTGTTGGTTATTGGAATTCATTCTGTATATACCAATTATATACTTGGATATATATATATATATATAAAACATATATACTCTCTCTCTCTCTCTCTCTCTGTTTGCTTAGTATTATTTTGCCCAGTTCTTTTTCATTCTTTTGTTATGGTTTATTGGAAACTTTGTCAATTTTCGTTAGTTGATCATTTTTGCCAATTACCCTACAATTAATTACTGTCATTAAATTCCCCAATATTTGAGTCTATAAGCATTTACTTAGTTTGAGGCTTGGTAGATACTGATCATTTATATTTGACACTGTAAGCATTTGCTTCGGTTTTTGAGATAGGAAAATATTCGTTGCTTATATTTGGGACTATATATATTTGCTTGGGTTGGGGAGAAGTAAATAGTGGTTGTTTATATTTAAGTGGGCCCCTTTTGAATGGGTCTTACTTCTTTGCATGGGATTCAGATGTATAGTTGATGCCCCATTGACAGGTCTAAAAAAAGCTTGGAATATTAACAACTTTACTGAACTCAATAACTCAAGTTATAAGATATGAACAAATTAAAAGAAGCAGGAATCTTATGGTCACACCACATTGAAAAACTGGTTCCCATACAATCATCAAAGTTAAGCAATGCTGAGCCTGGTCAGTATCTTGATGGGTGACCATTTGGGGATACCAGGTGCTGTAAGACTGGATGTGCAGGTGAGTCAATAGATAATGGCTTCGAATTCTTAATTGGAGACCTGGGTTCCAATTCTGGTTGGGTTCATTATATTTACTTATGCGCAAAGATAAGGTATAAATCCTCTTCTTCTCCTCTCACCTATGGGTTAAATAATAAGACCTGTATTACTAAACCATTATTATTTTAAAAAAATTCTTACAATCTAAAAATATTTTCTGGCTTTAAATAACCTGCAGAGGGTTGATAAGCTGTAGAAAGCAGATCAATCAATCCAAGAAACAGTCATTGATTGTAAAAGAAGTCTTGAAGTTCAAAGTTGACTGGGAAGCAAGAAATGTGATAGAAGAAACTGTTAACATAGATTTACAGTTACATCTAGCAATATCGACTGTAAAATGAGACATTATTATAGTGGATACTTGCATTGGAAATAGACACGACATTTTTATTTTAAACAGTGTGTATTACATCTATGGGCCATACATTTGAGAAATCTTAAAGAAAAAATGTTCTCCAGCAGTAATTAAATATATCTTCCTTTGTAGGGGAAACCACTATTATCTCGACTGACTATGGAGAGTGCCACAGTTCAGAAAAAACATGGACAGCAGAATGAGCACACTCTACCATTATATATTAAATAAATGGTTGAGCTTAAAATTCCCTGAAGACTAACCAGATCAGGTGGGAGAGTAAAATGGCTAAAATGTTGCCATAGTAACAAAGCAGAGGACATCAGTTTGAATGTAAATAAAAATCCTCAGAAATAAAACATCTGCTGTGATTGTTATCTTGTAGTTAATAATTAAAACAACTAGAGAAGAACTTCTGGCAAAGACCTTTGTATGAGGGAGTGTCAAAGTTCTCAGCTTGATCCTCTTTCCAAAATCATATCAGCATCTGATTACCCCACCCAAATCTATGTCCTAATACAGTCTTGAGAAAACTGCACCCTTGAGCCACATGTGGCCAATTTAACCTTTTGATTGGCACACCTAATTTAATAAAGAAAATAAGGTTTATTAAAATTTTATGCTTTGTTTAATCCTCACTTGTTCACTCAGATTTTCTCTCACACAGAAATTTGAGAGAAGCTGGTGTAAAAAGGAAATAGCTATTAGACGCCTGAGTAACCTCCCTCACTTAATAATGCTTATTGTGTTGTGGGTACAGTTCAACTAAAACACATACTATTTACATTATTTACACTGTTCAAACTGTTTTCCTCATCTTTATTGTCATATTCATAATGTTTCGGCCATCGTACACTCCGGCCTTCTTCAGGTGATTGAAATTTCAAACTGAACCTTTTATTTCATCCACCGGGGTAGATTGTTCTAGTTCCATTTGCCATGGTTCTTCTGGATGTCTCAGTTATCTCCCTTTAACTCAACTCTAAGTTTTTGTTCACCACTGAGACATCTGGTTGAATTCAAAATTCCAAACACTCGAAGAAAGCCGAAACATAAAACGTAATATGACAAGAAAGATGAGGACAACAATGTAAATAATGTAAATAATTAAAATACCTCATCTCAGAAATATAGACAGATAAAACACATAAATAACAATGATTAACTATGACCTTTCTTGAAATTTGTAATCTTTTGTCGACGGTGATGTTCTCAGTATTTTAAAACATTGTCGATTTTCATTAAAAGGAAGATCACACGTGTAAAAATATTTTTTCTTTTAAAAAGATATTTTTTTGTATTTTCCAATGAATAAATTAGAAACAAATCACACACAACAGCATATGTTAATCACAATGTCATCATTGATAATATTATACCAAATCTTCAATTTTTAAATTGTAGAAAGAATATTTTCTCCAAATAAAAGATAACTTTTTTCCCTATTCCTATGGTAGATGTTTATGCAGGTAATCTTCTGTAGTGAAAATGGCTGCTTTATTTTCAATGAAAGATTTCATTTTTTTTTTTGTGTGCCCTGCCTTATGATGTGCCGCATCTCTTGTGACCCACTGATTAGAAAAGGTTGCCCATGCCTGTGATAATATCTGAATGAAAAAGCTTTAATGCATCATAAAATCTACAGTCTGTGGCAAAAGTAATGCCCCCTTTTTTTGGGAGCCGAGATGCATAGGAGGATCCCCAAGCATTTTTCTTGTAAGGTGTACTGAAAGATCTTGTTTACAGGCTCAAACTGAAGACAATTCCTGAATTAAAAAAAGCAAATTTTCTGAACTTAATGTAGAAATATATCAAATGGTTTGTAGAAGTGTTGCTGATCGGTTTCAGAGTTGTATTAAAGAGGAGCATTTTGAAAATGTTAAATAGTTTGTTTAATCATAACAAATCATGTTTTGATGGGACAATACTCATAAATTTTCTTTAACTACTGTGATTTATTTTTGTTTAATAAAAGTTAATAAATAAAAAAGGGAATTACTTTTGCCACACCCTGTATACTACAAAAAAAAAAAAAGAACTTATATTATAAAACACATGTGTTACTTAATATATCAGGCAATAAATTAAAATCTTGTAAAATCTATGCTGTGGTTGTCATCCTTATCAATTACTCAGAAAGAAATGACACTTCCAAAAGTGTGTGTGTGTGCTATTTTATACTAGCAGTATAACCTGTCTTTGACCAGATGTTTCATTGCTGGGAATTTTTGCCATTCAGTTGGAGCAGATTAAATTTAAAATAAGCCCACCTGAAAATCAATCTTAGTAACAACAACTGGGTGCAACGAAGTCACATCCCCAAATAGGGCATTAACAATTTGAATGGGAGGGTGGCCCTTAAAAAGGCCGTTTTTGCATTCTCAATCTTGCAAGGAAGGAACCTCTTCTATGAACCATCATAATAAGAAATATATGATAATTTTTATTTATAATACAATTTTTTTTATAATTTTAATAATCTTTTGTGTTAGATTTCAACTCTCTAAATTGATTGTATGCTGATTTTTACAGAGATTAAATTTTGCCTTTGATATTTTTGCAAGGTATAAAAAATCAGTTTTTTTTTCACCAATTTTTCACCTTCAAGGTTGTAAGTTTTTACAGCCAATTTGGACTCAAAACTGACACTGAAGAATTATCTATCAAACAAAAAGAATTCATCAAAATCGAATGAAAACTGTGGAAACACATAAACAACATCCGATCACACACAGACACATTTTGAGAATTATAGATATAGACAGAAGAAAAAGAATAATGACAAAATTACTGCGTAGATCACAATCTTTATTAATTAGTAAGTAGGGACTATGTTTTATTTAATGCCTTGTAGAAGGAAAAGATTAAAATACTTTAAATAGATGAAATCTCTACTGTGATCAGTATCTTTATTAATTAGTAAGAAGCACAAATTAGAAAAGCAGTTCGCTGTTTGGTTGCTGCCTGTGTTGTTAAGCTATATGGTTGTATCAAGGATTCTTTTCACTTTTGCCAAGTATATGCAGAACTTTGCTTTTAGTTCTACAATAAGTTTATGTGTTATTCAACATCAGCAGTTTTTTTTTTTTGTTTTTTAAATAAACTGACCCCAAGCAAGGTGATAATGTTATTAACATGCAAGGGGCTACTGGGAGGTGAAAGAGTTCAGAGTGAACCAGAAAACCAATCCTATACCTGTTCAAAAGACATGGGAGGAGTGTGAACTGAACGATAGGAAAACCTACCTACTTCAATTAAGGAGAAGAAAAAAAGTGAAAATACAGATTTTAGATTTCAGAGATGTTAGAAGTATAGAGCTGAAGTAGACCTGAAACCCAATCCTAAACAGGAAACAAAGGATAAACCGCTAATCCTGTTAAAAAAAAAAAAAAAATCAAGGAGGAGTGTGAATTGGGCAATATGCAAACCTATCTACTACTATGTGTCATTACAATAGACCATTGTTGTTTGCACTGATTCTTTGTACTGTAGTCATCTGTCCCCTCCCCATATTCTGGAAGCCATCTTTGTGCAGTTGATAAAGTTCACCATCATGTCTATTGAATTTATCTTCAATAAGATCATGTATAGGCAAATAGATGGGATAGCTATGGGTAACCATTTGGGGCCAATGATGGCAAATATATTTGTTGGTTTTTACAAGCAAGATTTACTTGTACATATTAAAGGACCCAATTATTATGTTACTAATATCGATGACATCATCTGTCTGTTCAATAATGAGGTTAAGGCTGGAGTATTCCATCAAGCACTTAAGCAAAAAAAAAAAAAAAAAAAAATGAAACATAACCCATCTCTGCATAAGTGTTATGTAATTTAAGTATTTACTAAGTTTGACCTGGCATAAAGCCACAAGTATGAGGTACAAAGAGAGTGTTAAACTCAATATACGATAATAAAGGTTGAGCTTGTTAACCATTACCCAAGACAAGGTATCCAATTGAATGTCTTCGAGAATGAAAAGATTAAAGCAGTAGATCTTGTAAAATTTCTGCTGTAATTGTTATCTTTATTGTTAAAAAGTGAATAGCTATTACAAGCTTATTAACCATTACCAAAGACAAGAGATTCAGTTGAATGTCTTTGAGAATGAAAAGATTAACTTAGTAAATCTTGTAAAACTTCTGCTGTAATTATCTTTTTCATCTTTTAAAAAGTTTATATGGATACACCTCAAAAAAATTCTGGATCAACAGAGCCTGGATGCTGGTCTCTCTTCTGAATGAGCTCTAACAGCTCAGTGTGTGTGTGTGTGTGTGTGTGTGTGTGTGTGTGTGTTGGGGGAGGGGGAGACTGACTGGTCACATTCAATGCCTTGAAAATCAAACTACTGATGCCCCACCATCACTGGGTGAACCCTGAAAGGTATTCATTCAGGGAGGAGGTCCCATGCATCTACTGGGACATGCTCAACTCAGACTTCAAGTTGAACTAATATATACAATCCATTGTTAAAAATGTTGAAAAAATGGTTGATTCCTTCAACCAAAAATGGAATAATGTTGTCATATATGAGCAGGAGCTGTCCAGTCTTCACTTTCCTATTTTAATAGAGTCCAAAAGCATCTT